ATTCTCATAAATTAGTTTGGGTTCCTAAAGGAATTATAAACGGTTTAGAAACCATAAACGACTCAGGAAAGGTATATCTAACAATGAAAAGCAAACTCCTCTTTCTTGTAACTATATCTCTAAACAAAAACTAGGAAAAAGAGATTGTATCTTGATAGTGATGCTCAAGGCACTTGACAAGAGATCTAACACACTTCTTAAAGCTCACTAGCCGAGACGAAGGATATGTTACCTTCCGAAACAACAACAAAGAAAAAATTATCGGCATTAGATATTTAATAATAAATTAAATCTTTTAATTAAAGATGTTCTTTTAGTAAAAAGTTTAAAACATAATTTATTAAGCAGTAGTCAACTTTGTGATAAATGATATAATGTTAAATTTGAATCACATGCTTGTATCATAGAAATAGAAAATAAGAATAAATCTATGATTGCTTTAAGAAATGATAATATTTATATTATTGATTATGATGATTTTTGTGATAAAGCTTACTTTTCAATTTTAAACGATGATGCATGGCCTTGTTATAGGAGATTAATACATGTAAGTACGAAATTAATCTCATAAATTAGAACTAAAGAACTTTATTTTTTTAATATTATAAGAATCTATCTATATTATTTTCAATAAAATTTTTAAAGATAAGAAAAATAATTTTGATGATGATTTTGAATTTGATAATTTAAATTTAAACTCTTCTCTCTAAAGTAACTTAGACACATCTACTTTCAAAGAAACCTTACCCAATGAATGAAAGTATATAGATACACATTCTAAGGAGCTAATTATTAAAAATATATCAAAAAGGTGTTCAAACCAAAAAGGTATTCAAACTCGCTCTTTAACTTTTACTATTTATTCTCGTATGATTCTTTCTTTTTACTAAAGAGAATATTTATCCAAACGAATCATGATATTTTATTTAACTTCTTGAAATTCATGACTTAAGATTTATTTTGTATTTGATCTCCTATATTTCTTTCTTTTCACTAATAAGTAAGAAGAAGATTTATCTAAGTGAATCATGAGCTTTCACTTGATATTTAGAACTTGATATTTATTTTATATGAATTAAGATCTTTTATTATTTGTTCTCCTATGATTCTTTTTGTTATTTACTAAAAAGAAGATTTATCCAAATGAATCATGATCTTTCACTTGACTTCTTGACGTTTACGACTTAAGATTTATTATGTACAATTCTTTTGTATTTATGACTTTAAACTCTAATTTGTTGATAACAAACGAGAAGAAGAAGCTCATATTTGTGTTGATGACAAAATATGAGAAATAGCGATTATGTTGAACAAGAGACTTATAATGCATTTATAACTTTTCGTTAGTAATGACTCATGCTTAAATTTTACTAGTTATTTTTTGAAGCTTAATTAAATATTTAGGGTTGCAATGATATATCAATTCGAATTTATCTTAACTTGAATTTAAGAATACCATTGAAAAAGTTCTATTTTAAATTCAAGATAATTATATTTTTAAGATGACATAAAAAAAGGAGTTTTGTTAATACCCTATCGAACTTATCTTTCATATTAATATCTTTCACGTTATGATTGGAACATTGATATAAAGGAAGAGAAGTAGCACCATGATACCATGGTATCCTTCTCTTTTTTTATGATGAAAAAGGGGAGAGAGACTAGTAGCTTGTACATTTCAAAGAGAAATAGTAACTTACATATTTTTTCTTTTTGTTGATGACAAAGGGGAGAAGTCGATTGTACTCTTTGATGATGTAAAAAAAATTATGATGTTTTAACTTATTGATGATTTGAAATTATATATATATATATATATATATATATATATATATATATATATATATATATATATGTAATGATTACTTTGACATTTTAGCGATGATGTTTTGCATATGATCATTACAATGATTATTATTAAAACTCAATGATTTCTGATTAAAATTCCTTCAACTTGAATTGAAGAGTAGCATTGATAGGTTATCATTTTTTTAAATTTAAGTTCATTTCAAAATGACATATAGACAGAGAGAGTTTAGTTAAAACTCCGTCATCAATTGATTATCATCATAAAAAATGAGAGATTATTGAATCCTGAATTTTGATGATGAAATTAATTAATGAGTTATGGACTAGATAGCGTTTAAGATAAGTGACACATGAGAAACTTCGATCATGAATTTGAATCATCGAAAGACAAATCATTTAAGTAGGAGAATCAAATGTTAGGCTAGAGAGCATCATGTCAGAGATTAGACATCAGGCCAGAGGATTGGTCGACATGCCGAAAGATGGACTTTATGTCATGAGTTCGAGTATCAGGCCAGAAGGATCAAGTATTACGCTAAGAAGATCAGATGTGGGAGGTCAATATGTTGATGGATCGGGCAATACACCAAAGGAAAGGATAATACGTTGGAGGTTCAGATGAAGTGTTGGATGAATATATGACATGTTGGACAACATGCTAAAGGCTTCAAGATTGTAGTTGGAGTTATTAAGTCTTGATTGAAGTCGTTTAGAGTCTAATTGAATTGGTTTTGGGGCATAACCATGTCAACTTAATTAGGAGCCCATTGGGTATGTTGGAAGACTGATTCAGTGACCTAGGATTGGGCTGGGTGGTGGCACCGCTAGGCTCAGGTGGTGGTACCGCTTGAGAGCCGGAAAGCATTGTTTGTACTTTTCTGAAAAGTTCGACGGTAGTATCACCTAAGGTGGCGGTGGTACTGCCCAGGCCGATGGTGGTACCACCATAGCCCAGATTCTTGAGCTCTGTTTGGTGATAGTACGGCCAGACGTCGGTGATAGTACCGCCAGTACCCCAAAAACTAGAGGATTTAAATTTTTTGCTCTATTTTTTAAGACATTTGGGGTCTATAAATACCCCACTCATGCTTGCGATGAAGTAAAATTTTTGAGCATAAAAGTATTGTAAACTCTCTTGAAAAGTGTTTGAGTCTCTTTCTCCTTGAGTATAGAGGTTATACTAAGGAGATGTGTATAGAAGAGATGTGTAAATGTTCTCTCCTAAGCTTGTTAAAAGGAGAAGAGAGGTGTAATGGTTCTCATAAACCTGTGAAAAGGAGAAGGATTGTAACAAAGGTATTTGATCTTCAAACATTGAAAATAAGATCGATAGTGAAAGCCGGTGGCCTCGAAGGAAGAGGAATTGGGAGTGGATATAGGTCGGGACGATCGAACTCCTATAAATCGATTTGCATCCTTTTCTTATTTTCTCTTATCATTACTTACTGAATTACTTACTTATCATTTTTAATTAAACATATTTTCGATACGGGTTTAATGGATCAAAAATTTCAAATCAAAACTTTATTCGGAAAGCATTAATTCACAGTATACTTAATTGGAGTCCCGAACAAGCTCCTAAGCTCACCTAACCCGCCCAACTCAACGGGTTTGAGTTCAGCCAGTCAGTTTCCAAGTATAATTTGACCAGCCCAAGTCAGCTTCTATTCAGTGCCACATCAACCCAAATCCTAATCTATGTGAGACTTGAATTAAGGCAGCCACGAATGGAGTCAGTTCTAATCCTAAAGGGATTGTGACTTCCCATCAATCGACCCTAATCAAAAGTCCGAAAAGCCATAGGACTTCCTCCCCCTTACAATCTCGTAGCCTCTTGAAATTAGAACTCGGGGTGCACCTCATCCTATAGAACAAACAATGGACTCTCATCTAAAGGCATCCCTAAAGCAACATTTAAGAGGTGTCTAAGTAGCAAAAAAAGGTCAGTCAGTCAGCAATAGCAATCTGTTAGTGTCGAGAGCCAAAGAAGAAGAAGAAGAGGAGGTGTTGTCGAGGCCCTTTCGATCACAATCCCTTCTTCCCTGAAGTCTAGCGGCTGAAGCCCGCTTCCGAAGCTTTGTCCAACTCCTTGATAAGTCCAAACTCCGCAAATCATTCACCAAAGACAGCTTATATTACTATCGACATGGATCTCTCTCATCATCTCAACCTACCTACATCTGTTGAGTACACCATCAATGGACTGTTCCTATATAATCTGATCAGAAGAAGAAGAAGAAGAAGAATTGCATGGATCGGATCTGTCTCTCCATCAAACTTGATGCTTTGATAGAAAGCAGGAACATGAACACGTGAGCTTGCCGTGTTTCCAGCTCAAAGTGTGATTTCTCTTTCTTGTTGGCAAGAAAGAAAGCATCAGAAGTCAGTGAGTCACAAGTATATGCTTAGATGCCAAGAAACAAAAGGACTGAGATTAAGACAAGGGGAGGAGGTGGTGGTGGCGCATATCCTAAGAAGATGCCATCCCCAAGTCCATTTCACTCCCATAGCTTTTCCCTTCACTATAAAGGAGCCCTCACTCTCATGGCCAACCTGCTCTTCTCACCACCACCTAAAGCACTATCTCCTGCTACAACAGACCTACACACCATTCCTTCCTGTGCATCAGCATCCTCACTATGTGATCACAAGCACGTACGTCGGCCACCAGCTCACGGCGGGCGGCCGACGGAGATCCAACATGGGTAGTGGTGTGGCCACCCGCAGGGCAACTTGAACCTTTGGCATTCCGAGCTTCTCCATGACCTGTCTTCTTGAGCTGTTCTTGCTGCTTACGGAGTTGTCTGTCCACAGGTCAAGCAAATAATATCATCCTCCTATGCGTTGCAGTTGTGTTCATGTATTGCATGTTTGCTTGATTAAGCTCATGGTTTCTGCATTTGTAGACAAGTCTCATCGATATGATCTTCTACTAAATGGCATCTTCTTTCATTGATGATGTGGTGTATGTTCTTGAATTTGTCAGCCGGAGATTGTAAGCAATAGTTGAGTTTGGATTTGTGTGAAGAGTTGGGTAATACCTAGATCGATTTCAAACAAAAAGCTCACAGATACACTCAATCTGGATTTCCAGTGCAATGCTGCATGTTCATCCACCATGCCCTGCAACATGTATCTTGCCAATATTCCTTTTATTCATAATTTGATTGCCAATGCTAAGAACAGTTGGATACAGAAAACATTGTACAATCATTCGATTTAATTAGGCTCCTTACTCACACAGAACATAAATTTTCTTGCTTCAGAAGCGCATTCCGAAAGAATAGTTCTTGATACACCAATAAAAGCAATCTACGATACATCCACTCTTCATCTATGATACAAGCAATCTATGCCTCTTCATCTTGTTCACTCAATAATTTCTAACAAGCAGCAGCCCAATTGCTGTGATAATTATCGTCGTGGGGAATCCGAATCGCAGATGAGTCAGAAAAGAGAGATTGTATCCAAACGATTGAGATCGGCGAGCCTGTTCACATACTATCAAATTTGCAGCTGATCCCAGAAGTGACAGGTTCCCGGCAACCGTGCTCACCCATGCTAATAGGAGCCATGCCTTGGTCTCCTCAGCAGGAGAAATTTCTGCAGCAGATGCGGCCACCCGAGCTCCAAGGAGGAGAACTAAAGCAAGCAGAGTATGTTAGGTTGCAGACTACGGTTTACTGGCAATCATATCCAGGCATGGAGAACCATATGAAAGCATATAGTGACAGAATAAAAAGGGCGCCAGATAAGGAATCTGATAGTTTTTTTATGTTCTTGAAAAGTTCAGGGATTGTTCAGACTTATGGTTTTATATGTCGTATTTGAGTTGTGTTCATGTTCTTTAAGTTAAAAAGTCATGTGCAATTTATTTCTGCAGGTTGATAATACATTTGAAGGCCATCTGTTTCTGAACAAAAAGATATCTCCCTGAATGTACAAAATGGTAATCTTTTAAGTTATTGCAACAGCTATTTAGGCCATCATTTTGATACCATCATCCATGAAAGAAGTAAATGGATCTCATTTTTAAAGAAATAATCAATTCATGGATTTTCTGAAATTAACTCATGCAATTTGAGAAATCAGGCAACCCTTTTCAATTTTATGATGATTAACAAAATATGATATTCCACCCACAACCTATGCTCATAAAATTAGAATGTTTAACTATTAAGGCAATTCCTTTACAAGAACAGTCCTATAACTATGAGAAATGTAGAATTTTAATATATTGTGGAATATAGAGCAAATAATTAGTTCAAATATGTGTCATATATATTTGACGGCAATCATCATCAGCGAGTAGATAAGCATATGCACACGTATTTCAGATGAAATATCAAGATCTAAGCCATAAATTGTAATATAAACAAATGCAACAAAATTATTAGAATGTTGAACTAAAATATGATGACCATATCTGATGAACAGGCTTCTCATTTTACATTTTTTTCGTTTTTGTGCTACACATTTTGGCAGATGAACATATCGATATCAAAAACATATACTCAGTCGGCAAGACATGACACACTAGATTGAGCTCATCTGAGAAATCTCTCTGTAACACTATGTTTGCTAGTGCTAAGTATTCAAAATTGTTACCAAACTTTAGAAGCTATTAGTCGGAAATTCTGTATTTGATTCTTCAAATTTACTAGAAATCTGGTATCCGCACAACCCCTATGTCTTCTTGGCCATAAGTTTTCCAGAAGCCAACCAGAATTGTCTCTTTAAGTTTCATTAATGCTAATCCTTAAGAAACTGAGAGACCTGAGGGGCATGATTGGCTACTTCGACCATCAGCTGTGATATTCGAAAGCAACATGACATTTGCTTGTTTATTATAATTGGCATAATTCACATTTGTTAATTGAGCAGTAAATGTGTTCAGAACTATCGATTTAGATGCTAGAGTGCAGGCTATGCTAATTGGCACCAGATTAGCAAGGGAATTGGGTATTGAGTATGGTAAAGGAATACTCAAACCCAGAAGAATAATGAAGGCCTTGGTCCTATTAACAGTAAGCAAATCATGCTGAAGAACTAAAGGGTAAAAGACTAACCCATCCATGTAAAATGAGCGGAAAAAAATGAATTCATCGATTTTAACATATTCTTGAATAATAGGCTCCTCTCCTATTTATACATTATCATTTAAGATCCTATTTCCTGCTGAAGTAACAAAGACTGGTCTCCTAATTTGCTTATGTGCTTTACATAACCTAAATACTGATGTGTTATGAGAAAATTATTATCACCCATAACTAACTTGTCGAAGTCGTTATATGATTTAAGCAGACTTAAATGGAACAAAAACCATCAGCACTGCAATGAGCAGAAACAATGCATAAACCGTCAGGAGGCCTTAAAACACCGAGTGACGATCTACTCCAAACCGATAAATTAGGTTCTAAATTTAAATAGTTACAGTAGCCCTTTGGCACCATAATGTTTGATAGAAATAGAAACCTAAGAAAACTAGAGAAAAGAAAGAAACTTGAAGAATCTCGTCTCCTATCCGACATGTTGCTCCAAACAGGACCACATACAGAATCTTGAGTTTTGCTGAAGCCATAATGTGTGCCTCTATGAATATTTATTTATTTACTACTAGATACATTTGAAGGCTCGTAATAGATCCTTCTGACTCAAATTAGTATATTTCAACAATTTGTAATTTTGTTTCCTTGATCATTACTGTTAATATTCCTGTATCCGGCCAATCCTGGCAAATCTTCGAAGGCCTCCGGAGTTTCATTTTCTTATATCTCTGAAGACATTATTAACTACCTTATGTATTGATCAGTTTGACATTTTTAATCCAAGCCTTTTCTAAACATTCACTTGAGCATCCACAGTCAATTTTTCCATGATCCTGTTTCCACTTCTCACCCTGTTTACTTTCGACTTTCTGACTTAATACCATCATTGTTACTTTATTGCAACATGTTTGTTGTTGACAGCTCTTGTCACTCTTTTTTAACAATTGGGTGTGATCTTCCTTATTGATCTAGCATGATCTGCAATTTTTCTTTTTCCCTCTCCTTAATCATCCTTTTTGCCAAGGATGATAGATGATAACGGTGCCTCTCTCGGAAGACATCCATAGGAAACTAACTTGAATCTGGGATGACAAGTAATATTAGATAGATTAGTTGACAAGACATTGAAAATTTCAGGGACACAAGGAGGATCATCAATTTTCTTTTTCAATTTAAATGATGATGAAAAGAAATTGCATAAAAACAAAAGTTTTGGTGAATGCAAAGGTACTGATTCCTGCCTGCTGACATTTTTATCAGAATCTCCAAACATATACAAAGTCAACTACAAAGAGGACAGAAACATGGTACATAATGCAACCTGCAAATTTACCGAGAGTCTCATTATCTAAAAAATCTCACAATATTAATTAAGAAAATGTAGCTTTTGGATGAATTGTCACAAAATATGATCAGTCTATAGATAGAAATCTAAGTGATACAATGCATTTGTCGTGCAACATTATCATGCAGCAGAAAAGGAGTTCATAAATTGCACAGCACTGGTCATATGCTCTCAAATTGAAGTTCCTAAACTTGTAATTGCTTACTACATGAAGGCAAACACTAAAAAATATTGAAATGGTCACAAACTGTTGAATTGGAGCTCCTAAACTTGTTCTTAATAAAGGAGGACAAACATTGAAATCTTTGAAAAGAGAAGCTGACTTACCAGTTGGAACATTGGAGGCAACATTAGAGAGAAAAAGGATGACAACTGCAAGCACAGCAGTCCCAGCAGCACTATCGATGCGTGCATATGGTTCCATGAAATCCCACAAAGCACTTGGTATGCCGGTTTTGTTGAAGCCATCAACAGTGATGAACATCCCACAGAAGAATATCAGCAAAGAATAAGAAACCTGGTATAAATACACAAATATTAACATATGGAAAACAAGTTAATTGAGGACAAAATCTGCATATCACAATCATCACCAGATGGGAAATAGATAAAGCAATTTCGTTTTCAATCGAACAGAAACCATGTTGAAGTGCAAACTCATTTTTGCAAAAGTGTTTACCTTCTCCAAACAAGGCCGGGCATCCTTGAAATCAAGAACAATAAGAGCAAGAGCAGCAGTAATTGCGGACCAAGACATATTAACCCCCATCAGGAGCGATACCAGCATTCCAATTGTCACAAGATACACACATCCATTCCAAAGAAGTACCTTCCACCTCTCCATTGGAACTTCCTTCTCCTCAGATAAGTAGGAGAACCCATCCTTCATCCCTTTCATCCAGCTACCGCTCCTCGCATATTTTCTTGCAGAATGATCTTCCTCTTTCCTTGTAAAAACTCCATGATCACCTGCTATCTCCTTTGCTGCATTTGGTGCCAGTGTTGACTCGACTTTGTCACTCGATCCAGAGTGCATGTCGGCTTCGCTCCAAGTTATTCTATTTCTTAAAGTCTCAGCATGCCCGGGATCCCCATTAGTCGATGAGCATAGAACAATGGAATCAGCAGCCGAACTCCAATCCTCAGAACTCATCAAAGTAACGTGCGACATAGTTGCAGGATGAAAGCGGTGCAAGGTGACATCCTTTTCTGCAATCACATCAGCTGCAGCCGCGGCGGCCACTTCCACATCCTTCTCATTCGACAACAACTTCCAATAGTACATGAGAAGAATGCCAGCGTTGACGAATATGCCAACAAACATTGCAGGGAGTATACCCAACAAGAACTTCCCGAACGAGATATTGCTCTTAACAGCTATGACTAAGTTCTGGGGATTACCGATCGGAGTCGTGGAAGACCCAATGTTTGCGCTGGAAGCAAGCGCCAGAAGGAACGGCTGCGGCGGCAGATTGTTCTGCCGTGCGATCTTCAGTATGAACTCGGTGAGGACGACACAGCAGGTGTCGTTGGTGAACAGAGCGCTGGAAATGGCCGAGATGAGACAGATGCGGACCAGCAGGTCCTTCCCACCTCTGCTCTTCCACGAGAGCAATTTGCCCAAATGCTTGAACATGTCGGCTCTTTCGAGGAAGACACTGACGACCATGGTGCCGAAGAGGAGGCCAAGAATAGGGAGGTCGATTGCGGCGTAGGCTTCCTCGGGGGATATCACTCGGAACATGACCATGAGCATGGCGCCCAGGAGAGAGCCGGCGGTTCTTCCAATCGGCAGGAATGGCACGGCCGGGAAGACGGCCAAGACCCAGAAGATCCCGAAGGCCATGGAACCCAACACCACATTTACGGTGGGGGCCAACGCCATCTTGCAGGATTTGGGTTGCCGAATCTATCCAAGATCTCGGGGCACAACAATCCCTGCGCGGCAAAGATTGCAGGGTGGCCTAATCTAGCCAAGATCTTGAGGTGGAAGAAAGCCTGCTCAGCAGAAGATGCAGAAGGGCAGATCTTTCATGCATCCCATGATAGAAAAGCTTCAGAAATAGGATCTCAGCAGCACAGAACTGACATCAATCATGCATAAGCTCAATACAAGCTCAAAATCCATGGAATCTCAAGATCATTAACCTGTCACCTGCAGAAGCCACCTGCTCTCTCTACGATTCCCTGAATCAGATAACCAACCTGCAGTTCAAGCAATCAAAGAAGATGACTCACCAGCCACGAACAACAGAGAAAGTACAATGGCCTCATAAACAAGATCTCAATCCTGTGATCATGTTTCAATCTTCTCCCTTAATCAGGATTGAGGTAAGAAATTTATGATTGAATCCAACAGACGGGGATTGGATTCCAGCCTCCGAAGCTGTCTCATGTTGTTGGCATGTGGCCTACCTGCCATGAGAGGAGACTCATGTGGCCAATTGGAATGAGTCCACATACAGTAACCTCAATCATTCTTGGGAGGCGATCGATCATATGCCATTTCAGAGATCTTATCTGGCCAACTTGATTGTTATGATTGATGATTGAAGCGTGCATGTGTGTGCTTATCCACAGTATTAGCGTCAACGTGATCATTATCCACCTTTGACCACATTTTTATGAGTTCCCAAATGAAGCGATTAATCTTCCTCGATTGTTCCAATTGCATTTTCATTAATTGGACGTAATAAAGCAAGTTTTATTTTACGATCTCCCTTTACCAATGTTACAATAAGAACAAGAAGTTGGCACTCCAAAAGCTCTTGTCAAAAGCCTGGAGATGTTACTATCTGCCAAATGATTTAGGCCTTTTCTCCATACATAAAGGCCACAGCTTTTACAGATTCACAGCTCATCAGGTACTTGTGTGTTCCATTCCCATTTGTAAGATAAATTTAGGCTCTGTCCACATAGTGTAACCCAAAGAATTAAAGAAGAATTCCTTTAAATTAAAAAGCATCACCACAGTATGATTGTTCTTAGTTAGTAATGTGACTGTTAATTTTTAGGAATTATCAGATAGTTAATCTGCAATGTAGTTTTTAAGACACTGCTTGGCTGATTTTTGTTTACTGAAGATGGAGATGATGACAAATTGATCCCACCATGTCTAAAAAAAAAGAGTATGCCTTGAAATGCAATGAGTTCCGAGAAAAAGAATTCTATGAAAATTCTCATAAGTGGACTTCAACTTTGAGATTAATTAATATTATGCATCAATCATTGAAATCAATTTGATTGAAAATATTGATTGATAAGGTCAACTTAGTCCCACATCGGTTGAGGAGTGGGAGAGTCAAGCGCTCATAAGATAGCCAAGCCTCCCTTACTTTTAGAGATGCCTTTTAGAGCTCTCCTTACCCTCAAAGGTACCTTTTGGAGCTTTACAGCTCCGAAAGGACAAAACCCATGCCCACGAGATACACCAATGATATATGGACAATACCTCAAGACAGACAAATTGGTCCCCTATCAATTGATATAGAGACCTTTTTATAATACCTCCAGTAATTATATGTATTAAGAACTTGTAATTTGACTCCTCCAAGGTTAATTTCCATTATTTGGGCTCCTGTGGTTCAATTAGAATGGCTCATCATTTAAAATAAAAAGAAAAAAATATTAAACTTCAGTATTATTGAAGGGTTAATTATAGATTATTTTTTATAATTAGTTTTTAGTATTTCGATCTCTATATTATTATAAATTATATTAAGATATTTATATTTATAAAAAATAAAAATATTTAATTTTATTATTCAATATTTTTAATTTTATAAAATTATTTTTTTAATTAGAAATTTTAATATTTATTTTTAAATTTTTAATTAATTATAGAGTTAATATGTAATTAGCTCGTTATCGAATGCGCGACCGTCTTCAAACCGTATTAACAGGGGGAAGGGTTTCTCTAGGGTTTGCCGGCTCTCAGTACCTCTCCGCCATGAGAAGAGCCGCTGCCCTCGTCTTCTCCGCCTTCGCCACCAAACGCAGGCCTTCTTCCCGGAACCTCTCCAGGCTCCTCCATGGAAGTCCCTCTCTCCCCCACTCCCCGCGCCCGATCTCCTCCCAGAGATGCCCCTCCCGCGCCCTCCAGACCGTCCCCGACGCCGCCGTTCCCCTCCCCTCCCACCGGCGGAGGAGGCCTAATGACGTGGCCGACCTCGAGGAGACCTTCGAGGCCGCCTCCACGACTGACGACATCCTCTCCGGCTTCCGGGCCCTGGAGGCCTCCCTGGATCCCGGCGACAAGCGGCTCGGCCTCGCCTGCTTGAAGGTCGGCCAGCACCTCGACTCCATCGGTTCTGAGGACCATGAGAAAGTTCTCACCTTTGGCCTCCGCGCACTCAGGATCCTTGACGTGGACGGGGGCAGCTCCATCTCCGTGGTCATGGCTCTCCATCTGGTTGGCTCCGCGAGTTACAACCTCAAGAGGTTCAACGACAGCTTAGGGTTCCTCAACCGGGGCAACAGGATTCTTAATACCCTCGAGAGCGAGGGTATCGATGGTGAGTTTGACGTCAGGCCGGTGAGCCATGCTGTCCAGCTGCAGCTCGCCAACACCAAGACGGCAATGGGCAGGCGAGAGGAGGCTTTGGTCAATCTCAGGAGGTGCCTGGATCTTAAAGTTTCGATCTTGGAGCCTGATAGTCGAGAATTGGGCACCGCCCACCGGGATTTGGCAGAGGCTTATGCTGCCGTTTTGAACTTTAAGGAGGCTTTGCCACTCTGTTTGAAGGCGCTGGATATCCACAAGGAACAGCTGGGACAGAATTCTGTGGAGGTGGCCCATGATCGGAGACTTCTCGGGGTTATCTATACTGGATTGGAAGAGCACGATAAGGCTCTGGAGCAGAATCAGCTCTCTCAGAAGATTCTGAAGAGTTGGGGTGTGGGTGGTTCGGATCTTCTTAATGCCAAGATCGATGCAGCCAACATACACATTGCTTTGGGGAAATATGATGAGGCTATCAATGCTCTCAAGGGGGTGGTTGAGCAGACGGACAGTGAGAGTGAGATGAGGGCACTGGTGTTTGTGTCCATGGCAAAAGCCTTATGCAACCAGAACAAGTTTCCTGATGCTAAGCGCTGTTTAGAGATCTCTTGTGGTATTCTTGAGAAGAAGGAATCTGTCTCCCCTGAAAAAGTTGCTGAGGCATACATGGAGATATCGTCATTGTATGAATCAATGAATGACTTTGAGACTGCTATATGTTTACTGAAGAGGAGTCTTGCCATGGTAGAGAAGATTCCACAGGAGCAGCATGTGGAGGGGAATGTGTTGGCTAAAATTGGGTGGTTGCTTCTTCTGACCGGAAAGGTTGCCCAGGGTATTCCATATTTGGAAAGTGCAGTGGAGAGGATGAAGGAGAGCTTTGGGCCAAAGCACTTCGGGGTTGGATACATCTATAATAACTTGGGAGCAGCCTATATGGAGATGGACCGTCCACAGTCAGCTGCACAGATGTTTGCGCTCGCGAAGGATATCATGGATGTATCACTGGGTCCCCATCATGCTGATTCTATTGAGACATATCAGAGCCTTGCTAATGCATATAAAACAATGGGAAGGTACTAATTCCTTTTCATAGCATACTTCACTAAAGTCCAGTCTATCTTGTTGGTTTTGAATTATGGGCTTTCATGTCTTAATGCTATATTATATTAGTTGTAGGCAAGCAGTGTAATATTACATTGGTAAACATTCTTTTGCATGATTATTTTTTGTGTGACTATCAAACAACATGTCTCTTTGTTTTTATATGGGCATTTTACTTGGATTATATTCTAGCACCTCATATGATAGCATCACTTACATAAGAATTTTCCAGCTATTCTATCGTAGCATATACTTAGACCATTGATAAGCCATGACAATGCATCTTCTAAAATTTTCTGTACTTGGCCCATCACCGGCCGTGTTTGTTTCTCTTAGGTGTTTGTAGTTGACATTTTGACCTTTGATTTTAAGTAGGTAACACATGTGATTAGCTTAAGGGGAATCACAATCATCAAAATCCACTAATTTTGCGAAGGTTGATTCCTCTAAAGTTTGTTAGGATGTGTTTTCTTTTGTTGCCTTGTTGTACCAGTGTTGGCTCATATGGAATAACTTAAATAGGTCACTGCAAAGCATAAAAGTGGTAGAAAGGAACAATATTAGCTATATAGTTTATGATCCTTGAGAATGTATAACTCAGATGCATCAGTATGAAACTTGAATTTACATTGATCAAATTTCACTTCTTCAAGAATTCTTTATAAAGGAGCTATTCCTCAAGCCCACATCTTGCGAAATCTCTGTTATTTGCATGAGAAGGTTATAGTGAATAGAGAACAAAATGAGGCAACACTTGGCAAATATCATTAACAGCTATGCGCTTTTACCAAAAAAAAAATATTTCTTGCATCTCTGAGAGTTATATATATTTTATCTCATTTTCTTCTTTGGCAAATAACACCGTGAATACTATCTTGTTATCCTAAATGCAGCTATACCCTTGCTCTGGAGTTCCAGCAACGAGTTGTTGATGCATGGAGAAGTCATGGTTCAAATGCCAAAGATGAGCTTGAAGAAGCAGCTAAGCATCTTGAAGAACTAAAGAAAAAGGCTTTTGGTTCGCTAACTGAAGAAGTAATTCAGGAGGCTCTATCACTGGCAAGTAGAAATGATTCTGTTCCTAGCAAAGATGTGCAACATTGATGTCAAGGTCAGATTTTGTTGAAACGTTATTTTTTTTATGCTTTGTTAGATCTAGCTGTTCATGTACGATCTGACTGTTAGATTAATCAGCCATGTAAAGAATTTCCTTGATCTGCCCATGTAGGAAATCCTGGAACTTGAGAAAATAATGCTGTTTATGAAGTCCATGATTTGATATTAAGACAATGTCTTATCAGATCTACCATTCGAGAAAATTATCTATGATGGTCGTGATGATGAACTTTCTTTATTAAATTGTATGTGAGACTAACACCTCCTGCTGTCCAAAGGCAGAATGTATAATGACAATAGATGACCCTGTTCTTTGTCATGATCTAGTTGAACCTACAAGTTTAAGCCAATGCCAATATTTTGCAGTGGATCTATGCTCCATTGCCAATAAGGCTGATCTTAAGTGTTGTTGTGGTGTAGATTCATAATCCTTATAGTTTACCTTGTTGCTTGACTGCCACTTTTATGTCATTCACCAAGCATGCGAAGAACAGGTAACCTTCTCTTGAGCAATTTAACAATGGGACCTTGATCTGGATATGAATTGTAAAATTAGTGTGTCAGGTCATTTTATGACCGTTAGTGGGTAGCCTAATAGATGATTTAGATAGTCAATTGGGATGGCTGGATAAATAAGAGATTGAAGATAATGATGCAATTGGAATGCATGATCAGATCTTGTAAGAATTTGGATCAGACCTTACCAATTTCACTGTGGGTCTGCTCTAGTACTGAACAGATCTAAGTTGGTCTTGGGCCAAACATGGGTTTAAAATATGTCCAACTGATGATAGTAAAACAACTTAATTGTATGTTGTTTGTGGGATATAGTTAACTAAAGTTCAAACATAAGCTTGTACTTATTCATGTTACAGAATATATATATATATATATATATATATATATATATATATATACATACATATATATATATATACATACATATATATATATATATATATGGAGTGGTTACTTATGAGACAAATGGAAGAAAATAAATAATATGAGACAACAAGAAAGAAAGAGAATGTACTGTAACAGAAATAGGAAAAGTACTTTTTTCCATTTCTAATTCAAGATTTTTATTTTCATCTTCAACGATATATCTGCATCATTATCTTTTCTTTCATATATTCATCCTTCCAAATTCTTAGTGATGTTTTTATTAAATTATTGGACTTTTGTCAATACCACCACCATCAAGGACTTGTTATTGACAGATAAAGCATAAATCTTTCACTTTGGCATTCTTTGTTTCTGCTAACCTTAGTTTTTTTTTAATATTTGCTAAATATTGTGACGGGCCTTAACAATTTTGTGTTCCAAGTTGCAAGTTCCTAAAAGTGTGGAGCTCTTTGACCTACACCCTATAAGCAGAGTACAAGCCAGCTTTTTCAAATGTTTTCTTCTTGCCTTTGAAATTGTGGTCACCTTCTTGAAGTTCAACGTGTAGTACATTTAAGAATACATTGACTCAGTTTGACTCCACGCTGTGGCAGTTAAAGCAGCACCTTTCTCAAGGAGTGGTAACATAATGGGTTGCTGTCAGATTTTTGGCCTTCTTTCTTTTTGGTAGCCCTCATTATTTATCCATACTAGTTCACAAAATAGCTATTGTACCCTTGAAATGGTCGTTTCAAAAGTTCATTTGCAAACAATGTCCTCCTGTGGCTCTGAACTTCAGCGGTTGAGTTGCATATTTCGCGAGTACTAGTAATGCAAAGGGTTTTTGTTTAATGAGCCATACTATTTGTTTACACCAAAGATAATGGCGCCATAAGGCTCCCACATTCATTGAATTTTTTTTAAGATAGCTGTAATAAGAAAATTAAGTATACCAGTTAAATCAAACCTATTAAAATATCTTTTGCACAAGGACTTCATTGTTGAATAGTGGGGATTGTTTGGCACATTTTCAGCTAGTTGTAGTAATTACCTAGAATTTTTTGGGTCATGATGTGCTACAAGTTCAGATATGCCGCCCAGGTTGATTCACTTTACATGGGCAGTAGGAATTAATTGGGTTCTGCGTGCTACACCAGGTATACTTGGAATTATTTACTTAAGTTTCTTAGAGCATTATATAAGATATTTTGGCCTTTTTTGAACTATTAGTTTTGCTTTAACTGGGTTAAAAATGGTAATAGGAAACTGTAGACCATGTATATAGGCATAATTTTTGGTAATTCTGATGCTTTGAGTTTTTTTTTCTTGAATGGGTTCTAATGTACTATTGTTTATTTTATTTTTGGCCATAAACTTGAACGTGAGATTGGTTCTCTTTATGCCATGGTGATCTGAGATGGATCTGGGTGCTGTTTTGTTCTCAGCTTTTATGACAGAAAATAAAAATTGGCCTCACACTATTTACATAGTATTAAATAGGTTTTGGTTCCGGTTCATGAAGATGCATTTTGCTTAACATTCCTTTGCTTGTGCATTTGTAGGTTCTTCATTTTTCTCCTCTGGTGGTGAGACTTTAGACCACTTTCTTGACAGAGATTGCAGACTCGCTGAGCTACCAAGGGCACCTATGCACAGTTGTCACAGTTGAACCGGCAATTCCATGCAACAGAGATGAGGCACTAAAATCTGATTGACTCTTTCTATGAGAGTCAATACACAACACCACAATGAGATGATGACATAATAGAGCATACGGACGTTCATACACTTTTGAGTTGTTCCAGCAAGTCGTTGGTGAATCTAATGAGTAATGTGACTGAGGTGGTGGTCCGTTTCTTTGTACACGGTAATGAACCTATATAACAATAATAATAATATCATAAATTATAGTCTTTATTATTCGGAGTTGATTTTATGGGTTTTTTTTTTGTCATTAAGATATATAAAAGGTTATATGTTTAATTAAATTAAAAATATTTATATTTTTTTTAATATTTTTTTTGTTTCACTAACACTAATTATTTTATTTTCTTTTGATTATGGTATTTGGAGATCTTCTTTGTGTATGTTCTATCATCTTAAATAAATTTTTTTATTTTATCTTTCGTCAAAATGATATTTAGTTGTTTATAAATGAAAGTTTTTTTTTCTTTTATAATAATTTAATACATTCATCTTAATATTTTTATTTGGATAATATAAATTTTTTGGTATTAGTTGATTATATGAGACTCTTGATGTCTTTTATCATTTTAATCTTTTTTTTTTACTTTATCAATAATATCATCATCGATCTTTCTATTTTGTTAAATAATTAATATAAGATCATAAAATCTTTATTTAAAGTGATTTTTTATCCATCAAATTTAATTATATTTTTTATTTATTTTTTTAAAAAAATTAAAAATTATATTTTATATATTTAATTTTAATTTTACTTAATCTAAAATTTTTATTTTTTAAGATTTATGTTTATAGCTCAAGTTTATAATTAATTTCATTTAAACTTTCATCGATTAAGATAATATCATCAGCAAATAACATATATTATTGAGGTCTAGCAATTTAATATGGATTCTTGCTATAATCGTAATAGAAAACTCACTAGAAATATTCCTTATAACTCTAATACTAATAACTATATTATCATATATATTTTTAATAATATTAATATAATTAGTGGTCATATCTTTCTTTTTTAAAATCTACCATAATAAATCTCTAGCAACTCTATTATAGATTTTCTCGGAGTCAATAAAAATTATATGTAAATCTTTCTTTTTCTCCCTTTATTTTTCTATTAATTATCTTAATAAATAAATATTTTTTATAATTAATCTTCAGACATAAAATTAAATTAATTTTTAGTGATATTTGTTTCAAATCTTATCTTACTTTTGATAACTTTTTCATAAAGTTTTAGTATGACTCATTCTTTTAATTCCTCTATAATTTGAATAATTTTATATATCACCCTTAATTTTATAAATTGATACTAAAAAAACTCTATCTCTTCATCATATATCTTCCTAGTCTCATGATTTTGTTAAACAAGAATTAATCAAGTTATTCTAGATTTCTTTAATGCATATTTTACTATATTAGCTCTAATTTAATGAATAAATATATAATTATTAAATATATCACTACTATTTATCGTTAAATATAAATCTTGTGTGGAATATTTATTAAATAATTTATAAAAAAATATTTTTTTATCTTTCCTTAATTTTATTATCATTAATAAGTATTCTTTGATCTTCATCTTTAATGTATTTAATATTACCTAAGTTCTTATTTTTTTCTAATCTAAATAATTCAATGCATACATCTTTCTCACCATCTTTAATATCTAATTTATCTTAAAAATTATCATAAGCTTTATATCTTATCATTCTAACTATTTTTTTAACCTCTTTTTTAGATTCTGTCTTTTGAATTTTTCTACTTTTTATAATTTTACTTATTTTTAAAACATGATTTTTTTTAGTAAAATTCTTTTAAATGCTTTCTCACACCATCACCAACTCTATGTTAAAATTACACATCTACTTTTAGTTTGATTAAGAATATCCTTTGTTAAGCTCCTAATCTTATTAGCTATTATAGTTCAAATAATATTAATATTATCCTCATCTAAGTTTTAAGTAGCCTCATGTAACATCTTATTCTTAAGAATATCTACATTATTATCTTTTAAAGTTTGTCATTTAGTCCTAGTAAAAAAATCTCTACTATCTTTTTCTAATTTTATTTTCTATAGTAAATATCTAATACCATCAACTTATATTCACTTGTCAAATTTTCACTAGATATAACTTACAACTTATAAATAATTTTATCTACATTTCTAATGGGAAAAAGTCTATTGTGATCACTTTATAAGTAATTAAATATTCATCTCTATTTTTATAAATATAAGATCATACAAAGTTGTAAAATCCGAAATCATAACACCATCTTCATTTCTCTCCTCATAACTAAAACACATATGCATCATTTATATTCATTACATGTTTTCTCTAATCATTCAAATCTTCTTCGATTATAATCATTTAAGTTTTCCTAAAATTCTCTTTTGATATGATCTTCCAATTCAACTTGAGGCCCATAAGCACTTCACAAATTTTTAGAGCTATAATTTTATCTCTAAATTTTTTTACACCCTACAACTATAATATTATTCTTAAGATCCTTATTAACAATAATTTCTTTATACATGTATGAGACAATATATATATATATATATATATACATATATATATATATATACATATATATATACATATATATATACATATATATATATATATATATATTATCAAATATTTAGTATAATAAATTGAATGTTCTCACGTCATGCGTAATACGAGACGATCTCCTTCCTTTTTTTTGTTCAATTAAGGTTACAAGACATAGTATTTATTTTATAGATTCATCAGTATGATTTTATCATAGTTGCTTGTTCTCTCATGAAGTACACAGTTGTATATTGCTCCTTGCTATAGCTTTGTGATTTTGGAAGAGAGATTTCGAATTATGATTGGTTGCGAATAATTATTGTATCAGAAGTACGGTTGAATCTCAAGATCAATACAGGTCAAAAAGGAAGGAATTAGAGAGGGATTTTAATTGGTAAGAGATAATTATCGTATCACAAGTCAAAGAGGCTTGAATCTCAAGATCAAGTGGTTGACCATTTCACGGGTCAAAGGGGGTTGAATCTCAAGATCACGTAGTTGACCTTTCCACAGCCCTGACTGATCCACGAACACATCACCGTCATCTATCGCTGATATGTTGATTTATACGCTCCTATATTTATCCCTCCATGTTTAAATGTCTCCATGGTAGCTCAAAGCCACCTTCCATCGCAAGCTTCTCCTCATGCAAGAAGGGAAACAGAAGGCGGGCGAGGCTAAATGCCAAGGCGACAGTGGGGGACGTAAGACACAGACATCCATGACCCCGTCAGGTACAACTCCCGTGTATGAACTCGGCACCATCACCAATGTGCATCTTCCCCCGAGTTCGTCGTCGGCTGGAAGGGAAGTGATCGTGTTGGAGTACTTGGATGACAAGGTGTTGGAGGATATGCTGCTGGAGTGGATTGAGAAGAAAGACAGCAAGTGAAGCTTTGTGCATACGATATATTTACTTTTAAGTATTTTGGTGTGCTTAAAACATGAGATTGAATCTCTCTCTCTCTCTCTCTCTCTCTCTCTCTCTCTCTCTGTTTACGTTCAATGAATGAAGTTTTATGCTACACTAAGCTTGAGATTGAATAATAATAACTTTAACAAAATAAAATATAGATCAATAAATAATATAAAATTTGTATAATTCTCGGTCTTTTGTTTAAAGCCATAAATGAAAAAACACAACTAGCATAAAGGGATGTTGGATGCTTTGATAATATCGAATCATATTTGCTTTTGTTATATTTGATACTTAGGATTTTGTTTTCATAAAAATATAATTATATATAATGGTGTCACTTTGGACAATATTGATTGCTTAGATACTTTAAATAATTTTTTCATCCTAATAAAATACATCATGGCTAGAGAAACACTTTTACAAGTCAATCGCATCGTATTTCTTTTTACCGTAAGTGAACGTATTATAGGTAAAGGAAATACTTTGATTTGGTACACCACATCGAATACTTCATATAATATTTTAATTACATCATATATTTTGGATACTCTTTTACCCTCGAGATATTTTGAATTACATCATATGACTTGGATTTTTTTTTGCATCATGTAAAAAGAAAATGTTTTAACCTATTTTGAGTCATACTTGTAAAAGGAATATGTTTTAGCCTGATGAATTGTATTAGACAATTTGAATAGTTTTTAGTTTAAGATAGATGCATCATAAAAGGGGGATGCTTCTATCTAGTCTATCATGAACAGAGGCATTATGCTTAAGGGATTAAATCATGTCACATACTTCAAATATATTTTTATTGAATGTATTATATGTAAGGAGGTGCATAAGGTATTATAACCAATGGGGTATGAACATCATTAATCAACCTATATTTGAAATAGTGAAACCATGCAAATCATCCTCTCACATTTCTAACATCACTAAAAGTTCTCAATGGCTAAAAGTACAGCTCAATACATTCATCAAGCCTTTGCTCTCAGCACAAATAATCAAAAGATAGGAGAAGAAAACACAAGGCTTCATTTGACCAAAATACAAAAGGAAAAAAAGATTCACTTTTGTGTTGTTAAATTCTTTTTACTTGGTGTTAATTTTTTTTTTTCATTTATAAGCAATAAAAATCACAACATCACCATAATGCAACAGAAATTTAAACAAATAAGATAGGATAGCATAATTGGAATACTAATAAGAAAAGTATCAAATGGATTCTTTTTTGGATTCACACAAATGAAGAGGGTTCAATTTTGGATTCAGTGTATGATAGTCTTACATCAAATGGGTTGGGTTTGAACCCAAAACTTGGTTTGCTCCTATATGTTTGGGCTAAATTATAAACATATATTCAATTACTTAGTAATCAAAACAGGAAAATGGATATTTATACAGTAGATTGGATTTACTTGGTCCAAAATACCCACACTGATTTATGTTGATTAATTTTCAACTGTAGTGTGTGAAATTAAACCTATGTGTACAAATATAATATATGTTACATCCTTAGAATATGTGAAATTGAGACCCAATTAAATATCTATT